AGCTCCGTCATCTTTTGACCGATTTTCAGATCTAAATACAACAACACCCTAAGATGTTGATAAACAAGCACAGATGCTAGAAAAAAAAAAAGAGAGAAATATGGATACCGATGGATTTACACTGGTCACACCTGAAAAACAAAGAAACCTTTCAGCAAATACAAACAAAACAATAACACAGAATCATAAGAAACGAGAAACTAAAAACAAAACCTAAACACCACTTAAACACACTATTATCATCAGAGAACCACAGATGACAGCAGAAATCAAACGCTGTAAACGAAACATCGAAATCACTGCCATTAAACACTTAGCTAAGGGCGGACTCTTAATCAAATGAACAGAGGCGGCTGACCTAAACAGCCTTCTCAAAGAATGACCTTAAGACGCCTTTCATCTAAGACATATATCAATACATTTGCCAGGAAGTAAACCGAACGTAAAAGCATTTGTAATTAAAAGTATCCACTACAACATAAAAGTTGAACAAATTCAGGAAAAACTTATGTGCATAAAACTAAATTCCATACACAAAAACAGAGCGAATAATGAGAGTACACATGGAACGCAGCCTAATATCCAACGGTATTATTCTGTGGTAGAAGAGTCGAAAACGCCTGCTGTTGTCGTGACGCAATGTTTTAACTGCCAACGATACGGACACATTGCGGCAGCCTGTAAATCTTTCCCGCGTGCGTTGGAGATATTCACGATCCTATGTGCCCGAAAGAACACGAAAAACAATACTGTTGCAACTGTGAGCAACAACACACCGCTAATTACAATAAAAGTCCTAAAGATAAGTAGATCGAAATACGAATCTACAACATACAAAGTAACAGCAGTTCGTACACAACCACGCAGTAAACAAATATATCTCTCAAACAGACAAATACAGCCACAAAACAAACACCACAAACGAAAGAAACCAAAGAACTACAAGCTAACATAACAACTGTTCAATTGAATACTCAACCAGAAAATATACAGCACCCAGATATATCAAAAACAATTAAAATTAACCACAAATACAGAGAATAATCCCATAACAGAAGCTGCTGAAATACTGTTTTCCATTTTATTCATGAATATCAAAACCCTCAAAAAAAAAAAAAAATGCATCACTCAGAACCGCAGCCAGGAATTTTGGGACCCGGGACAATTCCTGTGAAAAGGGCACCCCTCTCCATCCAGCTAGCGCTCATTTACAGAATTTACTTTGTAAACAACTTTTAAATTATAATTCATTTGATTTGTATTTTAACAAATAATAATAAGAATTGCAGTCTTATGTATATAATTTTTATAAAAATTATTCCTACCTCAGAGTATCTGTATGTTTGCCCCTTCTCCTGCCTTTGTCTTTCAGTGACTCCTTAAGCTCTAATAAATAATTCATCGCTGCGCTTTCCTATTCGCAAAGTCCTGAATGATGTCTTTAAAGTCAATTTTGGGAGCACGTTCACATTTGATTGACAGAATGGTAAATTTGTTCAATCGGTTCA